TATCCGCCACCTGGGGACGCGCCCGATGGGTAGCTCAACCTGCACGGATATAGAAAATAGGAAATAGAAAGGATAAATTGGAATTATTAAAAACGCAGACGCAAAATAATGAAAAATTCCATTCGGAAATGTTGACAATTTTTAAAAATATCGCTAATGCGTTTACAATGATTGCAGAAAATTTAGTTCGTAAATAGTAGAAAACTTCTGTGTGTAATACAAATAATTGAAACAAAATGTCGAACTAATTTTAATGCCTAAGTAAAATGAGTATTGATAATATGTTGCTGTAGAGCTCTAGCAGCAGCTAGATCTACGTTGGCAGAAGGTCTTAAAAAATTTAACTGATTAAGAGCATACATGCCATAATCCGGCTTCACGGGGTGCGGCTCTTCAACCTCAGGTACTCTATTCGCAATGCATAAATTATGCAAAACGCAACAAGCGTTTGTTATTTTGCCTGCCATTGAGGGACTGTAATGGAGAGTGCGATAACGCAGAAGACATCGAAAGCGATTTTTGAGCACCGCATTACACCTCTCAATTACAGAGCGAATAGAGCATAGCCTGTCATTAAATCGTTCCTCGCCCAAGTTCCGGGCATTATTAATTGGCGTTAGTAACCAGGGACGAGTTGGATAACCTAAAAATGAAACTAAATTATTCTTGGCTAATGTTAATAGTGACACTCTGTTATTAAACTTTTTAAAACAAATCACTGAAATATAAGAAATTTGTTAGTGTTAGGGTTTCTGTTTAACAAATACAGTTCTACGCAACCTCAAGGATTTGTACAAAAAAAATTTAATACTAAAATGTTTTGTTACTTTACTTTTCATATTACTGCTAAGATAAACAATCAGATTAATTTTGTGTTAAAACTACATACCTGAGTCGCCGAAGAGAAAGAACACATTGTTACGATTTCTCCTGTGTACAGTCTCCATGAAATCTGACACAGGAGATTGCCTCCATATATGAGAGTCATGACATGAGCCAGGAAATTTGGAGTTGACATTCAAAATTTTAAGATTTGAGTCACACACCTAGAAAAAGTAAATCCCGCCAACTTTCAAATCTTTAACATTTATAATTATGTTATTTTACTTACGAGTTGCACATTTATGGAATGATAATTTTTCCTATTTACATAAACATGTTCCGGAAAATTTGGATCATTTTTATGAGGAGCCACAATAGCAATGTGGGTACAATCTATGCATCCACAGCTGTTCATAAAAAAATGAAGAAGGGCCTTTAAGATATAAGCACTAATGTTTGTTAGCTAAAATATACCGAATGCAATAATTTAAGAGTAAGTTCCATAACTTAACACAAGTGAAGAGATCTCGCAGAACAAATTAGGTGTCAGGTCAAGTTTCGTTGAAATCTCAAATCAATTGTTGGACTACTTACCTTGTCCTTAACGCTTCCAACTCTGCAATTGTTTGCGGATAATTAATTAAGCGATTTAAAATAGTAGCTTCATTGAGAGCATTGGATATTTCTGTTATAGCCCTGCTTGCTGACGCTTGACTAATACCCACAAAGTTATTTGACCCAGTGACCTCTTGGTAACTACCAGTTCCAAAAAATCTAAGCGTCGCTAAAACCTAAAAAAATATTTTAAGTGAGGCAACTTACATATATGTAGTCTGTGGGTCAACTTTTAATCGATATTTTCGAATTAGTATGCCGATAATATTTAAAACTTTTTGATTTTCTGGAACTAGTTGCACATTATTTAACTAAGTCGTTTGGTGCACCTTAAAAACATTTTCCACTAACCTTTGTCCTTATTGACAAGGCTGATTCTCTTGTAGGCTCCCTAACGAATGGTGACACCATCTCCACCACCTCTCGGCAAAGATTTTTTGATACTCTAAAGAGCCTAACAAATTTATGATCTGTTAGGTCAAAGGGATTCCTCTTATCCAGGGTGTCCCTTGGAACCCCAAACTGTTCCATGGCATCATCCACATCCTCACTTATAATTTTATTTACGACAACATTATTAAATTCCTCAACATTAATTTCAAAAATTAATTGAAAGCAACCCGTTAAATAAATCGATATACCCGTTACAAGAAACAAAAGATAAATGACAAATCACAAAGGTGACATAAATGAATAGCATTTGAGGTTGGAAACCCCGGGGAGAAGACTTTCTACTGGGTAGTACCAATCGATCATTCCCGCTCCCTGGGGAGCGACTCCCTCTCTCGACTTTTTTCAAGAATACCGTTTCGGCCGACTGTCATAAAACCCCGCCCACTTCCCTCGGCTGTTCTACTCCCTAGTCGTCAAGAATAGGCACACTTGGTATCTCTGCACCTTGGAAAGTTGTACATCCAGGGCCGCGCCAAGCCGGTCTGCCGCCGTCGTGCGAGTTTGGACAGACTTTAGGTACTATGTTCTATATTTTTTTTTAATTTTATGACAAAAGCCAATTAAATAAAAACTATATATTTATTACATGGTTAGTAAAAATGAAACTTAGAATTAGTGGTTAGTAGCCATAGGCATGTTAAACTTTTTGTTTGCAAAATTTTACTAACAATATTAACTCAATTTAATATGTTGTACCACGGTACTAACATGCAAATAAACTGAAATTTTTTATCTTTCTTGATAAAGATGTAGCCAGATGTTTCGCAGAATTGTAAAAATTATTTCCAGATATTTCGTAGAGAGTGTCATATACAGGGTGATTCAAAATTGGCGGGGGTGTTGTCTGGGGGTGTTTTGGGAGTACAGAAAAAACAGTAAAAAAATTAACTCCCAGTAAAAACTGAGATATTCGCAAAAAACTAGATCGGAATTACGGCATCGATGCTTTTCAAGGTAATCTGCCTAATTAACATTACATAAATACCTGTTCCTTCGTAATTATTAAAAACTC